AAAAAAAAAAAAAAAAAAAAAAAAAAAAAAGAAACTTTTTCCAGAACTTCTACTTTCGTCAATTCTGTCTCATTCCTTTTTATTTTTTATTCTTTGAATCTAAAAAACTTTTCTCTTTCTGTCATTGAAATAACATTAATTACATTGATTAAAAAACAGTTTATTACTGTGATTGATAGTCCCCTTCCCCACCCCCCGTTGTATACAGCTCTCGGTAGTATACAGCTCTCGTTTTCACGTCTTTCAAATGCAAAAGTTGAAATTGATACGAAAAAATTTTTTATTGATTTTATTTATTACAATTATTGAAAAATATTAAAATGTATAGTTGACTATAAGCAGAAAAAACACGTACGCACACAAACCCTTCTTCGCACACAGAAAGATAAACAAATAACAATCAAAGTATTCGACAAATAATCTTCTGGAAAAAAGGCAAAGAATCGTTGCAAAAACGCTAAAAAAAATGTAGTCGTCTGATGAAGTAAATTTAATAGCGGATGGTGAATGAACGCAAAAGTGAACAGAAAAGAAAGCAGAAGTAGTAGGTTGGAAAAAAGAAAGATAAGATTGGAGGACAGGAGACAGGAGAGGCGGTTAAAGCAACAACGAAGGAAATGCTGAAACTTTTAAATCTTTGAATTTAACGGTTGAACAGTAATTTCACATGAGAATTTTTGTCTATTGCGCGTTTTAAACGCTTAAAGCTGAAGGCACAATGCATCCCAGCTTCCTCGTTACCGAATCATACAAACAGCTGAAGGTCATTCGTAGGTGTGTAATCGTGAGAATGATTTGGACCTCCACTGCCACTATTATCACACAAAAAAGTATTGCATTCATCCCTCTGGAATTAGCATTACACCGTTTCTTCTGTCAGAATCCTTTTCTGTCCAGCCGTTTCATCGCTGGGGTGTCTGACAAATTCTCTAAGACCAAAGAATTTAATTCAGCAAAATTTGCTTTTCTTTGTGAGCAAAATTTTTTTGTTTTATATCAGGTATTTTCAAAAAAAGGAAAAAAAAAATGAAATTCCTAGTACCTTCGATAATAAAATATGATGAAAGGCAAAGATTCTTTTTTATTAAACGAAGAAAAACACTTGCTATAAATTGTGCACAATACGTACGGTTGACAGTTTATCAAAATTACAGATCAACAGTCCAGCTACATGATAAATCAACACATGCAGCTAAACACCCGGGAAGTCTACTGAAAGTCTGATCGTATTATTTCACTGGCCTGAGAACTTCTTATAACCCTTAACTTCCGGCAACGCCAGCAACAAATATTATGCACTATTTGATCAAGCAGACCGACAATCCAAACAAATGACAAAATCACTAAATTATTCGAATCACACAATATAAATGACAAAAGCCACGGCATATGTCTGAGAATGACTGAATCGAAGTAAAGGTTAGCACTGTGCTGTAGACAAAAATTTTCGTTTTTTTCCCCATCTTTTTTTGTTAGAAATAAAAATAACGTTACGTACAAAGAAAAGCAACTTTTAATTCACGGCAACAAATTCAAGTGCTTCAATCCTTATTCTAGTAACAATAGCTCTATACCATAAATAGCAAACAGGCAAACAAGCCAGCTAACCCAAGTATGAACTGCTAAAATAAATAGACTGTATACTGACATTTCAACACGCAAAGCTCTGAGATGTGACATGTAGTCAAAAGATATACATCTATGAAAAAAATTGAAAACTTGGAAGTTTTAGAAAAAGTTTGTGTAGGAAAACGTAAGTGCTAAAAAATGTACTGATGATGTGAGTGCAGAGCAATAGTTTTATCATTTATCAATAGCATAATTTTTTGGCATAGTAAAACAGATGATCGAAGAGACAAAGTTAACAGAACTGATAATAACTAACATCTATCTTTCGACAAATTTTTGCTCATTTTAAACCCATCTTCCAACCATTACTAAACATCCTCCTTAGCCATTTAATATCCTGACCCTTCTTCCACTAACCATTTCAACAGTTTTGCTTAACAATTAGACATTAGACAGAAGAAATGCAATTTTCCACCCGATCACCTCTCATCTGACTGCACTATCCAGCTAAACATATGATTA